GCAGAACTGACATACTCAGGACATAGAACTGGTAACAGCAGTCAGGATTCATCCCAGCCACACTGGACTCTTGAGTCCAGTGCTCTTTTTTTCCATCACCAAGTTTCTTCTCAAGGAGCAACAAATTCAAGGACCGTCCCCTTTGCTCTGCGTCCTTCTGATGGGCTCTGTCTCCTGCTCTGTCGTGTCTACCCCTGTCACCTACGGGAGCTGGAGATCTGAAGGCTTAGACGGGGTGCCCATGGCAGGGCGGGATCAGAGCCGACAGGGGCCTCTAGATTCTGGCCCACACACCCTCCCAGCTGGGTCGGCCTCTGCAAGTCTATAAATTCCATTATTCATCAAGTGACTGTGTGAGTTTGCCTAGACGATGAATATTTTATTCACCTCCAGACACTGTCCCCAGAGGGTTCTTGGAACAATATTGTTCCCTAGCCAAGGAGCAGAGGCCAGAGCCTCTGCCCTCCCTGGACACCCCCTTTCCCTCAGCAGCACGCTGTGTCCCCCAGCAGGCCCCCTGGCTTGGACAGGGCTGTGGTTAGCAGTCCTGAATTGACCTTGAGCTTGGCACTTGCCCTCCCTCCACTTTGATATCCTCTTCTGGACAGTGGGTTCATTTATTGCCTTGTCAGCCTCTCCATCCCTCCACAACTGCACCCTATGTGGCGGGGCCCAGGGCTGTGCCAGGAGCTCTCCCTGGTGCTGAATGTGGGTGGCAGGAGAATGCCGGCATTGGAGGAGTGGTTTCCAGCCTGCCAGGGCGCGGCAAGCCTGCTAGTTTTGAGAGGAGAGGGCCCCACTCTCTGGGAGGGAGGCACCCAGCCTCTGGACAGGGTGATCTCCATTCCTCTCCCCTTCCTCCCTGCCACTTGGTGGATTCTCCCAGGGTCACAGGTGGCTCACCTCTCCCAGTGTCTCTAGCACCCTGAGTCAAAGACTAGTGGGCAAAGTCTGTGGAGACCCCTCTCCGGAGGGGCCCATGAGTTGAGTCTCCCGATGGCACCCCAGGGGGTGTAGTGTGATGGCGGCAGCACCTTCCCCAGATGGGGGAGCGACAGACATAATTCACACCCTGCAATCACGCCATCTGCTCCCTGGTGACGTGCAGAGGAGAGGACTGGGCTGCAATGCCGAAGGGCTGGTGGGTTGGTGGGTGATCATTCATTCATTCATTCTCTCACTCATTCATCCAGCAGAGGTTCATCCAACCCTGCCAATTTCCCAAGCCCAGCCCAGCCCTGTGCCAGGCGGCAGATCTGGGGCATACAGATTTAGAGCCCGCCCTCCGGAGCTAAGGGTGGTCCTCTCACACTTCTGAGCTTTTGCTTACCCTGGTTTTTCCTCCTGGAGATCCCCTGACTCATAGTAAGAACTACCATGTCCTGCACACTGAACACTTCACATGCAGGATCTAAGAATTCACTCTGGGAGCTAGATCTGTTGCTATTTAACAGGTGAGTAAGCTGAGGCTCAGAGAGGTGAGTGTAGCCACCCAAAGGCATATGCCCAGCTCTAGGTTCTCCCTGCAGAGCTCATGGCACTGCCTCACCCACCCCACGTCCGAGACTTTTCAAGCTGGTTTCATGACCGTCCTCTACAAAAGCTGCCCCCCCACCCCGCCCTTCACCAGACAGTGAGCTGCCACCTCAACCGTGCTGCTCAGCCTTCTGATGCTTGTTCTGTGAGCCCCAGGTACGAGCAGCTCCCTCTCATCCTCTGACTCCTGGCCTGACTTGCTTTTAGGACCTAGCACTGAGGGGCTGCCCCGTGACCTGAGGTGCACGGTGCTGGAGGGCTGAGGAGGTCTATGATGGTTCCCGGAGGAGGCAGCATTCCTCTGAGCCTGGAAGGATGAGACCAGAATGGCCCAGAGTCTGGCTCCTGAAGCCCTCCCCCCATCCCAACCCAGCTCCTGCCTTGGACTTGAACCCCAGCCCTGCCTCACAGTGATACATGACCCAGCCTGGTCCCTAAGCAGGGGTGCCCTCAACCACGAATGGAGGCAATGACAAACTGCTTTCAGAAGTTCGGGGAATGCCATTCAGGTTACACTCACAGCCCAAGTACCCATGGGCAGATCAAGAAGGGGGAACAGGTAAGGCTGGTGACACGTGGAAGTCCCCTAGGCCCATAGTCAGCTCTGTGGGTCATGGCTTTGCATCAGGGGAGAGACAGGGACTGGCCTGAGTCTCCAGAGGCAGGGGTGTCAGGGATGGCCCAAGCAGTGGGGTGTACTGTGACCTTGGGGCTATAAACCCCATCAGGTCCTGTCCCTCTGGCCCGGTGGGAGCCTGCCCCAGGGAGCAGCCCAGTCACAAGATACAGAACCTGACCCCTTGGCCACAGACTGGAAGGAGGCCTGTGTCTCCACGGACACTCATGCCCTCCCTCAGCACAGACCCTCAGGGCCTGGCTATGTTGAGTAGGCCCATTTACTTGATTTTAGCTTAAATTACCCATGGACTGTTTCTGCCTTGTCCTTTGAAAATTCTCCACCGCCCAGGCTGGGAGCTACAGAGGATATAGAAGGAGCTGCCCCTCTGTCAGGCGAGTGGCAACACGCCCTGTAGCAGCCTCTCTAGATGCCACTGGGAGCCCAGTTTCCCATCAGACCCTTAGCAAGCTCCAGCCCAGCCTCCCTTGGCGAAGGGGTCCTGATTTAGAACTGGTTGGCCTGGGCTGGTGCAGCCTGGTCACTCAGCAGACAGCGAAAGAGAGCTGCTGTAGCTCAAGTTCTCAATCAACACATAGCAGCTATAATTATTATTAATTCATATTCCTTGGGGGAATTTTCATGCTAATAGGAAACTCCCAAGAGATACAGGGATACACTGCTGGGCACCTCTCCCACGTTACATCCCTCCATCCTCACCACTGCCTGGGACGTGGCATTGCCTTCACTTCATGAGGGGGAAACCAAGGCCCCAGGAGGTTAGGGGAGGAGACTAAGGTCCTATGGCAGCAAGGAGGTGGCAGATGCGGGAGCCCCAGGTCTGCCCGGCTCCAAGTTCTGGGTTCTTTCCTCCCCACTCCTCTGCTGCACCAGAAGACCCGAGGGAGCTCAAAACACTCCACTCTGATGGTACATAGTCAGACCAGGAGACAGGTGGATGAGGAGGGCTTTGGGGTAGGGCTTTTCGGGGGTCTCTCCCCCCCCTGGCCCTTGGTTCTAATGGGCACCCAGCTGATCCCTAGAGGCTGGGGAGACAAATAGCTGGGGTCTTTCCTGGCTTCTCTGCAGGTTGTGGACGCTGCTGAGATGCCCCTCCCGAGCCATGCCTGAGAAGCACTGGGGCCCAGGTCTGGCCCAGCCGAGCTCGGTCAGGGCTGGAGTCTCTCCCTGAGCCCCCTCTCCCCAGGCCCCAAGATAGAGCTGTGATTAATCAACGATAAAAGCAGAAACAAACAGAAAAACTGTAATCAGCTCGGGAAGGGCAGGGCCGGGTAGGGCCGTGGCAATCAGCTTTCCCGCTGGGGCTGTTGGCTAATTGAAAGTGGTTCCGGTAGGGCCTCCAGGGACAGGTCCAGCAGCTGGGGCCATGGAGAGGCCAGGAGGTCAACCCCTCCCCCCATATATACGCACGCACATCTGTGCACCCATGCCCATGCCACTCCTAGCCCATGGGCCTGCACACCGCCCCCCGCCCACCCATAGGCTCCCGCCCAGAAGCTCCTGCCCTCCCCTCCCCTGCCAGCTCACAACCTTGGTACACACAGGTTCCCATACACACTCCCAACATGCATCCATCTGCATGTGGACTCAAAAACACACGAACACACCCTCCTGGGTAACAGATATATGCACACACATGCTGCTCCCACAAACACCAGCCCCCTCACTCTAATGTGCACACATGCCTTGGGGCCTGGGTGAGCCTTGCACACACATTAGGTCTAACCAGCCATGTGAACTGATAGGCTCTCACACCAGTCTCTACAGGCACCCAGCCACCTCTCTGTTCTTCAGTGCCCTGAATTGGGGGTGGGGAGAGGCATGAGACCGACCCTTGGCAGCTCCCCAGGCAGAGTGGCGGGGGCTTGGAAAGGAGCCAGGGCTGGGGCTCTACTGTGGGGGGCAAGGTCAGCTGCCAGGTCTCAGCCACGGGCAGGGGAGCCTGCCCCGGATTTGTCCCAAGCTCCTGCCTGCCGCCAGCGCCTTATGACCTTGGTCAACGCCCTTCTTTCTCAGCCTCAGTTTCCCCACCTTGGAGCCCCTGCTGGCACCAATACTGTATGATTCTCCTCCAGGACCCAGGCGCCTGGGGCCCATCTCACCTCGCTGCCAGGTCTCTGGTCCTCAGTTCCCTGCTCTGTTCGTGCGGGGGTGGGGGCGGGCCAAGGGGCAGGGAGGAAGGGCCCCACCCCCACCTTGGTCCCGGTGGCTGCGGACTTGGGGCGAGAGACAAGTGATCCTCCGCTGGGGGAAAGGGGAACCTGGGGCGAAGGGGAGAAAGAGCCCGGGGCGGGCCAGGGGCGACCGCGCAGGGGCCGGCGGCGGGAAGGGGCGGGCGGGGGGGGGGGGAGCGCAGAGGGGGCGGGCGGGGGAGGCGGGGAGCGCAGCCAGCGCGGCACAGAGCGAGCGAGCGAGCGAGCAGGGGAGGCAGCGAGAGCCGGAGCGGCGGGCCGGGCGGCCGCGCCGGCGAGCGGACTAGCGGGGGGCGAGCAGCGCGGAGCGCGCGGAGCACCGAGGAGCGGGCGCGGCGGGCGCAGCGCGCGGCGGCCGGAGCGGAGAGGCCCGGGCGGCACCGCCCCCGCCGCCCCTGCGGGGCCCCGGCCGGCAGCCCGACGAGGGAGGAGGGCGGGCGGCATGGACCGGCGGCCTGGGGCGCGGGGGCGCTAGGCCCCCGGAGGGGCGCCCCCCGTCTCGCCACCGCTGCTGCCGCCTGGCCGCGCTCCGCAGCCGCGCGCCCCGCCCGCTCCAGCCGCCCCCGGGGCCGCCGCCGGCCCATGAGCCCCGACCTCAAAGTTTGCGGCGGGCGGGCGGGCGCGGAGCCTCCAAGATGCCGTTCCACCCGGTGACGGCGGCGTTGATGTACCGGGGCATCTACACCGTGCCCAACCTGCTGTCGGAGCAGCGCCCCGTGGACATCCCTGAGGACGAACTGGAGGGTGAGTGCCCCGCCGGGACCCCTGCCGCCGGCCCTCCTACCTGTGCGCCCAGGTGAAGCGCGGACCAGGGGCGCAGGGGGCGGGGGGCCGTCCGCAGGTGCCGGCTGCCAGGTGGGCGCTCCAGAGAGCAGCTACGCGGGGAGTCAGGACCAACTCGCACCTCTGGGTGCCGCGGTGGGGGTAGCCAAGGCGGGGGGGCGGCCCAGCCCCTGCCCGCATGGTCCCCTGCGCTGCGGAAACTTGCTGAGCCCCGCAGCGGGGTCACGGGGCCGCGCAGTCCGCGGTGACGGTGCGGCAACGCGGCGGTCTGGGTGGGGGTCCGAGCTGCGCCCCCCGCGCGGGCCCGGCAGGAGCACCCGCATCCTGATCCCCTCCGCGGCGCCCGCCCGCGGCTCTGAGCTCGAATTGACATTCCGCTCGTGTCGCTTTTTTTAAAATCCAATCTGCTCGGGCAGCCAGAGAAGGGGAGAGGGCGACTGCCCTGCTCTTGCCGCCTGCGGGGCTGTCCCCAGTCCCTCCTGCGGCCTTAGCCCTTTCCCCACAGCCCTGCGGGGACCCCCAGCTCAGAGCGCTGGGAGGGCGGTGCAGGAGGTGGTGGCAACAACAAGTGGCCAGATTGGGCGGTTTGGTCGCGATAACCAAGCCTGGAAGGGAAAGGCAGAGGCTGGGACCCAAATCTATTTCCCCCAGAGTCCCTCTGCCTCTCAGCATGAATGGGGACCTTAGGCAAGGGGCTAGACGAGATCAGAGCAGAGGTCAGGGTCTGGGGTCCCTGGACCTGAGATTCTGCGGAGCAATGAGACCCCTGGGGCCTACAAGCTCTTTCCCTCCTGGGCTGGGGGCAGGTTCTCGGGCCTTCCAACCCCCAGACTTCCTAGGGCCCCTTTTGGAGTGGAGTGGGGGTTCTGGGCTGATAGGAGTCTTGGACCCCTAGGATCTACTTATCTGCTGTTGGGTGAGCAGCTGAGATCGCCCAGAGGCTGGGCCTCTCTTCAGTTATCTTGGGTCCGAGGGTCTCTGAGATCTGGGGCTCATCAGGGCTTGGGGGGGGTACAGCTGAGACACCGATGCAGTCAGGGATGGTGATGGGAGCACAGGGGAAGGCATGGAGAGAGGTCTTCCCTCTTCCCCAAGCCCTGGAGAGGGTAGATCTTGGTGAAGTCAGACTGGGTGAGGGGAAGATCAAGAGGGAGAAAGTAGCTACCCCCCCTCCCCAACACACACCCTGCACCATAGACTATGAACCATCTGCTCCTCTCAAGTCCCCTGAAAGCCCCCGGAGGCTGGCAGAGCCATGAAGACAGGGTCTGGTGTCTGATGCAGGCAGAACAGAGAGATGAGTGCTGCTACTGGATCTCTGGCTTTGAACCTCAAAGCCCAAGTGTCTGCCCTGTCTGTCCAGGGTGTGGGAAAAGGAGGAGGTACACGAAGACCAAGAGGGCAGGGGATTGGGCGCGGGCCATCTCTTCCCCACCATTTTCTCCTCCTGCCCTGGGCCACCCCGAATCTCCTGCCAGTGTCTCCCTCCATGGGCCCTCCTCTATCCCTTCCTTCTGGCCACTTGGGCAGCGGACAGCATTGTCCCCCCAAAACCCATGCAGCTTCCACCTTGTTCCCTACCCTTGCTTCCAGCACCCCACCATGACGCTGGCAGCCCTGCTATGGGCCTGGCTGGGACTCTCCTCTCTTGAAAACCCAGCCCTGGGGTGCAGACACTGAGAAGCTGAGAAGAGGCTGGGATGCAGGGGTGAGCGGGCACAGGGAGGGCAGTGCAGGGGTGAGGAGGCCGCAGCCTCCCCTCAGGCCGCCTGGCGGACACACTGGCAGGAACCCAGCAGCGTTAGTCACCAGCCACACCAAATGCACTCCCTGCTTCTCTCCTGTCCCCTTCTCCTGGGCCCTGAGGAGCAGAGGGACCCTGGCACAGGGGGCATCTGAAGGGCAGAGCCCTCCTTGGGGTGGCCAGGTGGGGGTCGTGGAGCAAGCAGATGCCTGGGTGGCCCCAGGCTATCTCCTAGCCTGTGGGCAGCTATAGATGAGGGCAAGAAGTCCTCCACAGCTGACCCCCTTCTTGCCTGTGGGCACTCTGAAGCCCTCCTGGGGGACCAAGTCTCTGCAGGCCCCGGTGGTCCTTGAGTGCCAGGGCTGGGTGGAAAAGGTGATGCCCCCCTGCCCAGTGCCTCTGCCTTCATGCTCCTGCCCCAGGGCAGTCTGGGTAAGATCCAGGCCCTTTGCTGAGAGGACACCCACCAGTGGGGGATCCACATGTGCAGAGAAGAGGAAGCCCAGCAGCTTGGGATGAGATGTTGCAGACATTATGTGCCTGCCACAGAAATCCAGGGGGCGGCTAATCTGAGGGGGAGAGGGACCAGTAAGGGAGGTGGAGAGCACAGGGTGTCGATGAGGGCTTCCCAGCCAGGCAGCACTGGGTTCCAATCTCTACACCCTCGGCTCACAGAGTGACCTTGGACAATCACTTGCCTTTCTTGCCTCGGGTGTCTCCATCTGTAGAAGGGGCTTGGCATTGCCCCTCCCCAGGGCTGCTGGTGACAGAGGACACAATGGAGGTGCTCATCGAGGGGACTGGCACGCAGAGGGAGCTTGCGGACCCAGATGCTGCAGCAGGGGAGACCAAGGAGGGGGTTCTTGCAGGAGTAAGAGCCTGGAGTGCGGAGAGATTGGTGAAGCTCTTGAGTTAGGGACCCTGGATGTGCAGGGGGACGGGCCAGGAAGGCAGCCTCCGCGAAAGGCTGGGTAGAAGAGTCCTTGAAGGTCTGGCAAAGGCACCTGGGGACCTGTGGCCCCGGGGAGCCATGGGTGGCAGTTGGCAGGGTAGATGTGGCCAGGCAAAGCTGGCCTGGAGCCTGTCTGACTCCGGAGAAGGAGAGGCACAGACAGGCTTTCCAGCTTCTCCCCGTATCTCGCCCTCCCTCACCCCTGCCACGACACACACACACAGCAAAGCCCCGCAGGGTCTGCAGGAGCACGAAGGCTGGCCCCAAGGTCATCAACAGGCTTGAGCACGGTGGCTGGAAGCCCTAGCCCAGCCCTTTCTGGCCAGAGAGAAGAGGAAGGAGACAGACAGACGGACCGGCAGACAGCCACCAGGGCAGGGTTCTGCGGTTGGCACTTGGCCTGCTCAGTCAGATAGTGGAGCCCACGCTGAGAGTGACCAAATAGGGCATTCAGAGTATGGGGGGTTGCAGAGTCCCCTATCCTGCCCCTTTTCCTGCAAGCCCAGCAGCTGCCTCTGCGCAGACCAGAAACTCAGGGCCGCCAAAGTGGTGGGGCGTGGGGCCAATGCCGCGGAGAATGGCAACTGCTGCAGAGGACAGACGCTGCCCCCCCTTCACAAGTGACCTCCAGCATGTGCACCCCGTCTCTGGACTCCAGCTTCCTGATGGAGTGCTGATGCCCCTCGAGGCCTGTTGGGCTGCCTCAGGGTCTGTCATCTGCTCACATAACCCAAGATTCACCTGCCCTCCATTGTCTCCCGTCCAGCCTGGTGCGTCCAGCTCAAGGCTTCCAGAAGAGGATGAGGGGCTGAAGCAGCCATGGGCTCTGGGGGCCACACCCGGCCCCTGCCAGGGTGGGAGGGACAGCCTGGACCCCAGCTCCTTGCAGGGGAGGGGACCAGCATCCACTGCAGTCCCATTGTGGGTCGAGGGTTTTGCCATCCCAACTCGAGATTTCCCAGTGGGCCTCTACAGAGGAGGAAACTGCGGGACCCAGAAAGATGGGGTGTTGACCCTGGGTTTCTCCTTCCAAAAACAGCCCCTCACCCAGAAATCTGGGGATGGTACCCTCAACCCTGCCCTCAGCTTGATTCCCCTCTTCTGTGGGTGGCCCATAGGGTGGGGTGGGGTGGGGTCCTTGGGGGGTTGGACAGGGGGACAAGCAGCATCCTCAACCTCCCCTCATGCTTCTCGCCTACTTGGGGAGTGGAAAGCAAACGCTTTCTCTTACTAGGATTGTTTGTAAACTAGAAGTAAATGGGCTCAGAATGGTGGCCTCACACCAAGTGGTCCATGAACTTCTGCTCAGCTCTTTCCTCTGTGTGCTCTAGAAGGGTAGGCTCCCCAAATCAGTCATTCATTCATTTAATCACTAGTTTGGCAGATGTTTATGCTTGACAGACAGCACTGTTCCAGGTCATGGGGCCCCAGCAGTGGCCCCTGGCCTCATGGCACTCATAGTTCATTCGCAGTCCAGTGTGGTGGACAGGAATGAACAGTGCAAGGGCAGAGCAGGGCGTGTGGGAGCCCAGAAGAAGACCAGAGTCAGCTGGGGGGCAGGGAGGACTCCAGGGAGGTGATGCTATCTATGCTGAGAACCTGAGAGGCATCAGAGTTTGCCCTGGTGAGCGGAAGAACTTCCAGGCGAAAGGAGCCCTGTCTTCAAAGGCCTGGACATGGAGCACTCCTGGTGCTCACCAGGGCTGAAAGGGCCCCTCGGGCTGGAGTTCGGGACAGCTGAGGTGGGCAGAGCCTGGGGCTGGGTCAGGAGGGCTACAGTGCTGGCCAGAAACCTAAGTGTGTGGTGGTGAGAGGGGCAGACGGTGTGCCTGGTTGCATGCTTGGTGCCTTAATCTCTACCTAGAGACTCCAAAGCCATAGGACCCCGTTAGCCGCCTCCGTGACTGCCGGGCCTTTACTCATATACCTCTGGTGGTGGGGAGCTTACCACCTTGTCAGTGGTCCGGGAGAATGCTAGGTGGGAGTTGGCCTGGAGTTCCAAGTCTAAGGTTTATAGAAACCCCTGGACCTGGTCCAGATCTCCCATCCCAGCTGCTTTCTGGCCTAGGGGACCCTGGTTAGACCAGATTCTCAGGCCCAACCGAGGATGGGTGGAGAAGGTCCAGAGTCAGAGGGTCTGGGGGCCCAAGCCACTTGGCTACAGCCCACTATCTCTGTTTTGGCTTACGGGTCATCTGGTCTAACCTCCGGGCCTTGGGTGCAGACACCAGGTAGGAAGAGCCTGATGAAATTTGGGCCCTTGACCAAGCTACCTTGCCGTGGCCCCTAGTCTGCGATGGGGCCAGCGGGATCAGGGAATAACCCCGTGGCACAGGATTCCACAGTTTGAGGGGTTCACAGCCCCTTAAGGCCAGGCCTGGGCCAGCCAGATTCCTGCTCTCACCAGAAATAGCCTTGACCCCAAACTGACCCTGGGTTGGCTGTTTTGCCTCTCCATGCCTCAGTTTCCAGGCCTGCAGTCTGGAGCATTTTCATCTGTCTCTGCTTCCAAATACACCCACACTCACTCAGGGGGAGGATTCTGCCTGCTGAAGTCCCAGCCAGGGGGACAGCTTAGGCAAAGGCCAAGATGCTGGCAGGTGAACAAGGATGCTGGAGCAGAGAGGGTGTGAGTGGAGTGAGGTTCCCGTCTTGACCAAAGGAAAATGCTCTTCAGGGCTCTTCCTGGGCTGAGTGACCATGAAAGGACAGCAGGTAGAGCGAAGTTGAGTGGGGAGAGGTTAGGACCTCTCAACAGCTCCTGGACATGTTTAGTAAAACCCTTGTTGTACCTGCATCACTACTGGGCATTCTTCTGTGGGTGGGACTGAGTCTGGCCCGAGGTCACTCGCTGCTCCCAGCCCAGTGCCTTGCTCTCCATCCCTGTCACCCAGGTCCTCAGGCCTCCGTCTCCCCTTCTGTAAAATGCAGGGGACAATCTCCACATCTGAGCAGGCCTGGGCTTGCTGGGGCCCCTCCATCCAGCCTCCACCTTCCCCCAAACTTGGACAGGGGAGGCAGTCTCTGCACGGAGCTGTGGGCCCGTTAGCCCTGAGCCGGAGCTGGTGGCTGCCTCATGGGGTGCCGTTAAGGAGTGCTGGCTGGAGTTTCCAAGCCGAGCCCAGGGGAGGAAGCATGCGATGGGGATGAGCCGGGGGGGGGGGGGTCGGGGGGGCGGGTAGGGGATGGCAGGAGTGAGGGGTGGACAGGGAAGCCTTCGGCACCTTCAGAGGCCACCCCTGCCAGGCCCCGGGAGCCGGCACAGTGGGACTCATGCTTAGCCACCACACGGGGTCGTCATGAGCACGCCCTGAGAGGCTGTGGGAGCCTGGCTCGGAGAAGGAGACCCCCCGAGGGTGATCTGGGCCGTGCTTCGGGCGTGGGCGTACCTTTGCTGCCTGGCTTGGCTGGCCCTGAGCTCCTGGAAGGCAGCGCTAGGGTGGACACTTGGGCCACCTGCCACGTGTCTCTGACCAGACCTGCAGGCTCCATAGTGGATTCTCAATGCCGGGCTCAAGCTGCGGGTTTGGGAATCCTGGGAGCCTAGGGAGGGGGTTGCGGGGGACAGAGGCGAGGTCCCAACCTGCTCTGCTCCCCCTGCCCACAGAGATCCGTGAGGCCTTCAAAGTCTTTGACCGCGATGGCAATGGCTTCATTTCCAAGCAGGAGCTGGGCGCGGCCATGCGCTCCCTGGGCTACATGCCCAATGAGGTGGAGCTAGAAGTTATCATCCAGCGGCTGGACATGGATGGTGAGCACCAACCCCTGCCTCAGTTTCCTTACCCCTCACCTGGGCCTCTGAGGCTGAGCCCACCCTCCAGGCACCCCCAAATCCATGGCAGTAGGCAGTCGGGTCTGGCCCCATTTCCCAGCCTGGAGAATAGAGGCCAGAGTGTGAGGGCCCCAGCCACACCCACACACGGAGGTTAGAGGATCTGCCTCTCTCCCTCTGCATCATTCTGAGCAATATTTTTTTTAAAGATTTTATTTTTAAGTCATCTCTTCCCCCAACGTGGAGCTCAAACTTACAACCTCAAGATCAGGAGTTGCATGTTCTACCGACTGAGCCAGCCAGGCGCCTCCCGAGCAATTTTTAAAGCACAGAAAAGTAGGAAGGATGTACTAAATACCCCAGGTCCCCTCACCCCCAAATAAAAAAATCATTTAGTCGTATTTGCCACCTGGCGATTTATTAAGGAAAACCTAGTAAAAAAGACCAGTAATGTCCAGTCAGTCCCCTCTTCCCACCCCCCCACCCCCACCCCGGGGCCTCCAACCCTGCCTCCTCCCCACCCAGAGAGCAGGTAGCCGTTTGGGCAGACTGTGCCCCGAGCTTCAGTTCCTGGGTGGTGAGGGTGTCGGGCCCCACACCTGCTGGGAAGCCACGTTTCTGAGTAAAATGTGAGGCTCTCCCACGTGCTCGGGCCCACCTGCTGCACTCCATCTCCACTTTGCCAGGTGGGGCCTCATTATATTTGGTGGTGTTAGTCCCTGAACCTAACTCAAGGCTCAGAAAAGGTGGGACCCGCCCAAGGTACCACAGTGGCCCAAGGTGGCCGGGGACCCAGCCCAGTTGTAGGCTGGCCCATGATTGGAACTGTGCCTACCCTAGGCGATGGCCAAGTGGACTTTGAGGAGTTTGTGACCCTCCTGGGACCCAAGCTTTCCACCTCGGGGATCCCAGAGAAGTTCCACGGCACTGACTTTGACACCGTCTTCTGGAAGGTATGCACTGACAGGTTGGGATTTAGGGTTGTGCCCCTGTGGAGGGCTGCATGGGGCCAGTGAATGGCCAGGGCCACACTGTAAAGGGGGATGACTATCCCAGGTGTCTGTCCCCTGGATGTCTTATCTCCCAGAGGGCCAGGGGCCCCCTGGGGGAGGCTGGTGTGGTCAAGGACTCAAGGAATGGAGCCAGTGGTTTCCAGTCCCCCAGAATCTGTAGGCGTGTCTCTGGGCCCATGCGGCTGCGGGGTGCTGGGTGGTAGCTGTGGGGGTGGCAGTAGCCAGAGCACCGCGTCTCCTCCCCTCCCCAAGTGTGACATGCAGAAGCTGACCGTGGACGAGCTGAAGCGGCTGCTGTACGACACCTTCTGTGAGCACCTGTCCATGAAGGACATCGAGAATATCATCATGACAGAGGAGGAAAGCCACCTGGGCACTGCCGAGGAGTGCCCCGTGGACGTGGAGAGTGAGTGACCGGCCCCCGCTCCCCCCACGGGCAGGCCAACGGCTGGGGCAGGGGGAGGAGGAACCAGGGTCTGCAGGGGATGGCCGGGGGCCTCCTTGCCCGCCCCACGCCTCGTGTCCCCGTGTGTCCCGTGGGACGAGCCCACGTGCGGAAGTGCAGGCGGCTCTTGATTCCATGCTTCGCTGTCCCCGTCTGTCTCTCTCTGGTGCTCCCTGGCGGGCGGCCACAGCCTGCTCCAACCAGCAGATCCGCCAGACGTGCGTGCGCAAGAGCCTGATCTGCGCCTTCGCCATCGCCTTCATCATCAGCGTCATGCTCATCGCAGCCAACCAGGTGCTGCGCAGCGGCATGAAGTAGGCGCGCCCCCCACCACCCGCAGTCCTCTCCCGCGCTCGGCTCCCGGGGCCACCACCGCGTGTCCTTTGGGGCCGGGACGTCTGGCAACCCCACCCCACCTGCCCCCGCGGGCCCTTGCATGGAGCCGAGGCCCAGCTGCGGAGGGCCTGGCGGGGGGCTCTGAGGACAGCCCCCGGCCCCGCCTGCACCCTGCCCACCCTGGCCTATACGTAGCACTAACTCTTCCCTCCCACCGTCCAGGGGCTCCTGGGAAATTTAGGAGGCATTTGTACAGGGTCCAGTAGCTGATGTGGTCACTTAGGCAGGAAGGAGGCACCCTGTGCCCAGGGCCACACAGCCAACCTGACCCTGGTCTCTGAGATTTGCCCAGGGCCGTGTGCAGGGTGCAGATGCGGGCAGGAGGCTTCCTCCTGGAGAGGGGGTGAGGCTAGGGTCTCCTGGGCGCTATTTGCTGGCCAAGACTGAGGAGGTCCCTGGCCTTCTGTGGGGTCCCTTTCTCTGACCATCCTTAGACTCAAGCCCAGCCTTCCTCCATGCACCCATTGGGGCCAGAGAATTTGCCCATTTCACAGATGAGGAGCCTGAGGCTCAGAGGGCCCCTAGATTCAGTACCCCCTTCAACAGGGATTTTTAGGAAGGGCAAAAGCGCACAGCAGATGGGGAATCTGAGGTGGCCCTGCAGTCTCTGTGCCCTTTGAGCTCCCCAGTCTGAGGACCACATTGCCCACCACCCAGCACAGAATCTAGAACTGGAGTGCAGTGAGGAGAGAAGCAGACCAGGGGCCTGGAGGCTCCACATCGCCTGAGCAGCCTGTGTGATCTCCCCACCAGCCTGGGGGGCTCCTCCCGGGCAGAAGCCTCGGGAGGGGCCCTGTGTCATGCTGGGCTAAGGGGCTGGTGTAGCCCAGCATTGCTGGTGCCTGGAAGCTCAGCCAGGCCACTCCCCCAAGTCCAGGGCCTGTCTTCCCGGGGCCCCCAACCTCTCTCCACTGTCCAGGCCAGAGACACAGCTGCCACTGTGCCCCGGCTGTGCCATCTCTCGTTCGGGGGGCAGCTCGGCACGGGCAGATGTGGGGACTGGGACAGCAGACTGAGTCCTCGAGCTCCTCTCCCAGATCTGGAGCCCCCTTTCACCTGGGTGGCCATCCCAGCCACATTGACGCACCCTCTGCCCAGCTGTGCCGAGCCTCTGCCGGCCCCCCCGGGAGAAGGGCAACAGCACTCCTCACCCAGCAGACGACCTCGTCTCAACGCCAGCCCCGCCCGTCCTCTGCCCAGGGGCCGAGGCGCGGAGCTGAGGGCGCCGGGCAAGGAGGAAGCCAGACCACTGTGGTGACAGACTTTCTTTATAAACATCCAGAAGGCAGTTTTCTCACCCATCTTCTCAGGATGTCCCATGAGGGCGGGAGGGTGGAGCTGCCTGGAGTAGAGCTAGGATCAGGGCTGCACCTGGTAGGGCGGTTCTGGCGCCTCCGTCCAGCCAGGCTGAGCCGACGGCTTCAGAAGCTCTCCAGGAGGCAGCAGGCGGGGGCCTCGGCGTCCCCAGTAAGAGCCGGTATCTTTACTGTGACTGACACGAAGGCTGACCAGATGGGGGTCAGGTGGGGATGAGGGGTTCAGCCCCACTGGACACTGGGCTGCAGGGGCCACCCCCCGGGTGGGGGTGCCCGCAGGGATGGAGGCAGCTCCTGGACTGGTGGCCAGCCTATGGGATACTGGAAGATGGTGGTTCTCATGGGTTCGGCCCTAGCGAGAAGGAGAAAGTCAGAGAATTAGAATGGGGCCCAGCACAGGCCCAGGCTGGGGCACCTCCCCCCCAGCTCCCCCTCTCCCCACCGCCCCAGCTACGGGAAAGGTCAGCTGCTCGCATGACCTTTCTGGAAGGCAGAGCCTCAAAAACATGCAGACCCTTTGAGCCAGCAACCTCACCTCTAGGAAGGAGCCCAAGTGAAACAGCAGGGTTGTGGGCAGAGACTGAGCTACAAGAAGCAGAAATAACCTGTGCCCACCTGTGGGACTGATTAAATACATATGCACGTCCACAGCAGAGAATGCTATGCAGCCCGCATAAAAGTGAAGGCAGACTTGTATGCACTGATAGGGAAAGGTGTCATGATGTACTGTGTGAGTAGAGAGAAAAAGCAGCTTATAAAATAATGTATATAGCATGATACTATTTTTGTTTAAAGATATATAACATATATAAATGCATAAAAAAAAACCCTGGAAGACACAGCAAAATGTTAACAGTGGTTCTATCTGCGTGGTGTAGTTATGGGTGATTTTTTTTTTACTTCTTTATACTTTTCAAGAAGTTTTACAGGCACGCAAGCCTTGGAAATCAGAAAAAAATACTGTCTAAAATTTTTTTAAAAGTCTCATTTCTCCTGCTACTCACTCTCCTTCCCCTGGAGGTCCAACCCCCCTGGAGATGCCACCTGGGTGCCCAGCCAGGGGCCACCCTGTCCTCAGGGAGCCAAGTGAGGTGCAGAGGCAGCTCCCCGCCCCCTGCCCCCCAGCGGCTCCATACTCCAATGCTTCTGGACTTAACCCCCACTCAGTCCGCTGCTCTGCCTCTCACAGACTATGAAGCACTTTGAACTCACCCAAGAGCTTGCGTCTCCCCTATGGGACTGGAGCTCTCACATGGAAGAGACCAGGGGTTAGGGGTGATGTCCATCTGTCCCCCAGGAGCCAGAGCCAGGCCTGGCGCAGGGAGGCCACTCAGTGAATGTCTGCTGGCGACAAGTAGCAACACTGAGTACTCTTACTGACTAGGCACTGCTCTGGGCCAGGCACCAAGGTCTAGAGAAACCTCAAGCATCTTCATATGAACCCCATTTATAGATGAGGCAACTGAGGTGCACAGAGTCAGTCATATGCCCAAGTGACAGAGTCTGGGACTGGGGATTAGGGGCTAACAGGCAATGTATACGTGGGCTCCAGACATTGCCCCCAATCCACAGGCCTAGCTTTTAGTGGAGGTGATACCCTGGCAGCTCCAGGCAGGCTGGGATCCAGTGGCCAACCCTCTGCTGAGAGGGAAAGTCCTGAGCCCTCTGAAAGGTTTGGAGAGGCCTCAGGCCTCCGAAGTGGAGGTGGTGGCTGGGGTCAGGAGCCCCGGGAGTTTGCCTCGCTGCCGCACCCACCAGCCTGCTCCTCTGGGGCCTGACCTGCTGGGGACAGCCCACTCGAGGGCTTCAGGCAGCCTCCTGTTACAAGAGGCCAGGGCAACCCCCTGCCTCGCTGTTTGCCGTCTGCTGAAGAGCGCACGAAGCAGCTCCCGACGTGATCTATGGCACTGGGGAGGCTTCATCAACTCCACCAGCTGCAGAGAAGGGTGGGAGTGGGGAAGGCTCCGCAGTTGCTGGAAGGGAGAGCCCCAGCTGCCAGCCAGCCCCGGGCTTCCTGCAGGGTTAAGGTGACTGCAATTCTCTGCAGAGAGAGGGTGTGATCCTGGTGAGACGCTTCCCGTGAGCCTCAGACCCTTCTCTAGAAGATGGAGCAGATTCCTCGGCAGCTGAGGCCTCCCCCCCGGATAAGGGTACCCCCTCCATGGGCTCAGACATGGACACATTCCCCAGGCCCCTGAGCTCATGAAGCACACCCCTCCCGCCTACACAGAGCACACAGGGACGCTGAGATGCACAAGACCGCTCCATGGCCTCCCTTGTGGCCTGTTGCCCACCCCCCGCCCCCTGCCCCTGGTGCAAGGACAGGAGCTGCTCTCTTTTGCATTTCCCCAGCCGTGGTTCTGATCCAAAGAAAAGTCTCAGGGAAGCGCCTGGGCTGGAACAGTAGCGCCAGTCCAGAGAGGGGTGCAAAAGGGGAGATTAAGAGGGATAAAGTCACAATCTGAAGAGCCAACAATGGAAAACAGGGACAAGCACTGGCCTTGCCGGGGGATTAGTCTGTGTGTCTGAGCTCTTGCCCTGTCTGCTCTGGGCAGATCCCTCAGGGTCAGTTGGCCGAGGAGGATGGCACAATGTGCCAGGCTGGGGCCTCACAGGGCCTTCATTTCCCCCTTTTATAAGGAGGGCTGGCCTGGTTCACCTTGAAGGCGTGGCTCAGCCCGCGGGGTTGGAGCCCTCGGGTCTGGGTGGCCCCACGTGGACTGGGCAGCCATCTGCCCCCCGTACCTCAGGGGAGGAAACAGAGACCCAGAGAAGAGCAGCCACCGCACTGGTCCCCACAAGGGGTCCACAGCACCAACACCCAGGGAATAGTCTTTCAGGCCAGGGACCCTGCACCCCCAAGTGCTCCCACGCAGTCAACATGGCCCAAGCCCGCGCCAAGCCCGAGTGACAACAATGTGAGCTCGGCGCCGTGAGGGGGGCGTCAGAGCTAAAGCTTGAAGAATGAGCCTGCCTTTGCCTGGCAGAGGTGGGGAGGTGGTTCCAGGCGGACAAAGTAGTGTATACGTGGTGCACAGAAATCAGAAATGCCCACCACATCCAAGAAGCTGCCAGTGTCCAGTGGGACTGACAGAGGCCAGATGGGAGAGGTGAGAAGAGGGACCACACGGGCTGGGGAGGTGGCAGGGAAGTTCCCTGGGGTCCGTCGAGCTGGGTTGCAGGGCCCAGAGCCACTGAGGTAGAGGAAGCCCAGAAGGGTTGACGCAGGGGTCGGGGCCGGCCAAGGCCAGGGAGTATTTTAGGAGCTGGCTGGGGCTGTTCTGTGGGGGATGGTCAGGAGGAGCAGAGGGGAAGTGGGAGGCAAGGAGGGGCTACTGTGGCCGCGGGGAAAACCGGGTGGGTAAAGGGCACAGAGGGAACGGTCTCTGCAGGGCTGCCTCCAGGGTAAGAGACTCAGGGAACAGGACAAAGCAGCCAGGGGGCTTGAATCCACCTCCCCTGACCCCGCAGGGGTGAGGCCACAGGTGGAGGGGCAGAGCCCATCAGCCGTGGGCTGCAGGATAAAGAGGTTATTTTTCATGAGACCGGCCCATAGGAGAGGGCTGAGGAAGACCGAAGCAGTGATGGTGAAAGTAATAATAAATGGTCACCTGCCTTCCAACAGCCTTTTCCTCAAGGCTGGACAGGCCTGCTCTGCCCCAGGAGCAATCCGTTCTGGCTCTGAGCCCTCAGGAGGTGGGTGGAAAGGTACACAGGTGCGGAGGACAAGTGGTCGTCCGGAAGGGGTCAGCCTGGGTGGCCAGGAGGTGAGGAGCACAAGGACAGGGCTGAGACTCCCCACAGCCTCGGGTGGTCCCCAGGTGCAGGCTGTGGCCCCGACACAGCTACCCCATCCCAGCAGCTTGCTGCTGCCTCCACCACTCCAGACCTTCAGCTGGATGGGGCCCTTGGAGACAGAGTGGCCTAGGGACTAGATCAAGCAGGGGCGTAAAAGCTCTCCCTCGAGCGCCAGCTCAGGGCTGCTGAAGATAGCAGGTGTGTGACCAGGACAGTCACAATCTCCTGGAGGGGTTGAGATTCCTCAGCCACAAACCAGGGGCACCAACCACTTAAATGCCCAGGGCCAAGGGCCAGGTGCACCACAGCACTAAACACCCGCGTACCCGATTACCAGGGGCTCACCACCGCCTACCTGAGATCTGGGCCTGTCATCCAGCCTCAGTTTCTCCACCTCATCCCCCAGTCCTCTGAGTCTCATGGCCACAAGCGTCCTGCCCTGGATAGCACTAGGACACATCTGTCCCTAGGTGGGGACTTCTGGTCACCCGTCTCTACCCACTCCTGCACTCAAGCCAGTCCAGGCACTGGGTCTTCCTGAGCCCTTGTGAAAAGCTCAGGAGGTGCCCAGGCTTTTGGTGCTCACTCCCAACAGAGGAACCACCAAGTCAGAGCAGGGAGGTGAGCAGGGAGCACAGCCGAGACCCATGGGTCGCCAGGCCCAAGCAGTGGGAGAGTGGGGAAGACCCTAGAGCTCCCTGGGCGCCTCCAACCAGCCCCAGCCCTCTGACACACCAGCTGATGGGGTCTGGGACATGGATCCTGGGACAAGTCCCAAAGGGGCACTCCCCTGACCAAAATCACAACCACCTCAGACAGGACCAGAAGGGATGGACATCAAACTCCAACATCTGTCTGTACTGTATTGTTTTAAGGTGAGGGGACAGAAACAACACAGATTTTTTAAAAAAGCTAAAAAACAACTAAAAGTTGAGGTGCCTGGGTAGCTCAGTCGGTTAAGTGTCTGTCTCTTGATTTTGGCTCAGGTCGTGATCTCAGGGTCGTGAGATTGAGCCCCACATTGGGCTCCGTGGTGGGTGCGGACCCTGCTTAAGATTCTCTCTCCCTCTCCCTCTGTCCCACCCCACCATACTTGCAACTCATGCTCTCTCCCTCTCTCTCCCCGTCTCAAACAAAACAAAACAAAACAAACCCAACAACAACTAAAGGTTAATTTTAAAATAGTTTAACAAAAAGCTCTCTTCACGGGGGCACAGAGAAGGCAAGAAGTTTAGCTCCCACCTCCTGGCAGAGCTCAGAGGCAAGGCCTCAACCTCAACTGTCCAACCAGGCTCCCTCGGCCCAGGCCAGCTTGTTGTCGCATGAGACCACACCACAGAGACAGTCGGGTCTGAAGCCCCATTGCAAGACAGGCAAAGCGAGGCAGCCCAGTGCAGGCAGCTTTACAAAGTCACAGGATGCTCATAAGCATGCCACCTTCCGCCCCTCTCCCTCCTTCAACACCTGGCGGAGGAGCCCAGGAGCCCTGGGACAGCCCGCAGGACACACCTGAGGGCCCCTGACCCAGGGTGCTCCACCCACTTCTGAGCATTTTGAGCGCCAGGCCTGGCAGCAGCTGGGCCAACCTGCTGGGGAGTGAGCTTGTCACATCTCTGAGCAATCCCAGCCCTGCCTCTTAGCCGTGTGCCCTTGGGCAAGTCACACCCTCCTGTGAGCCCTACCCCCTCTTCTGCAGGGTGGGTAACTGTGCCTATCTGTCAGGGCCCGAGAGGAGACAGTGCAGTGACCGGCGCACTGGGGCCTCAGGAACCACAATCAGGCCTCTCGCTCTGGCAATGGACTTGGTGATGTCCAGTCGAGTTGGCCTGGCCACCTGCCTCCCCTTCAGCCAGCACAGATGCCAATTAAGGGAGGAGCCACTAAGGCAGGAGGATGAGGCTCAGGAACAAGAACTTTTAAACGAGTGCCCCTCAGCCTCTGGCCAGAGCCTGGGGACCCAAGAGTCCCAATGTGGCTCCTCCCTCGAGGAGCTCTCTGTGGGGGCGTCCATGTCGGGTCCCTGCGCAGGGGCAGTTCATGGAGACTACTCAGCTTCCGGTGAGGGCAGGCTGGCTAGGGCACTCTCCTAGAGGGCACAAGAGACGGGGACCCACGGGGCCCGTACCTGCTGCTTGGAGCTGAGCTCAGCCGCTTGGCTCTCTTTTCCAACCAGTCTTCCAGATGGCCCTCAGGGAGCTCGACAACATCTAGTGGCCACTCCCTGGCCCGCCTCTCCTCTGTGGAGACAGGGAAACAGAGGCAAGTGAGGGATACATTCACCCCTGCCCGGACCCCACCCTCCCACAAAGCTGCCAGAACCTTCCTGGGGATGAGGGCACAAGCTGGGAGGCCAGGAGCAGAGCCTCAGGGCAGTCCTTACCACGCTGCTACCTTCCTAGGCCTGACCCTCTGGGCCTCACTCTGCTTCCTCATTAAGTGGAGATAAAACACTGGCTGCCTCCCAAGCTTTTTGCAGTTGGACACAGGATAAGGCATGTAGAGAGCCTGGTCCTCAGGAGGGGCCCAAACCTGGGGGCAGAGAGGCAATGTGGGCTGCAGACCAGGGCAGAGCAGGGTTTGGATCTTCACTTGGCCACTTGCCAGGTCTCTCTGACCCTGGGCAGGGGAAGGAGCCTCAGCTTTCCTTTCCTTCCCTCCCTCAGCTTCCCTCCCTCCCTCTCTCCCTCCCTCCCTCCCTTCCATCCTTCCTTCCGTCCTCCCTCCCTCCCGTCCTCCCTCCCTCCCTCCCACCCTTCTGCCTCAGCCTTCCTGGTTTTCCTTTCCTTTCCGTTCCGTTCCCTTCCCTTTCACCTTCCCTTCCCTTCCCTTTCCTTCCTTCCTTTTTAAATTTTATTTATTTGCCAGAGAGAGAGAGAGAGAGAGCACAAGCAGGGGGAGCGGCAGGCAGAAGGAGAAGCAGGCTCCCTGCTGAGCAGAGAGACCAACCCGGGGCTGAATCCCAGGAAGCCGGGATCACAACCCGAGATGAAGGCAGACACCCAACCAACTGAGCCATCTAGGCGCCCCATCCTGGTTTTTCATTTCATAAGTTGTCCTGTAAGAACCTTTGCTCACTTAAAAGTGAGCCAACAGTTCAAACCAGCTGGGTGTGAGATGGGTCAGAGTCTCCGGGAGGACTTGGGATAGGGCCTGGGGCCAGAGGAAAACAATCATACCTGGGGACCAACAAGCGGGCCAGGGCTTGGGCTTAGCACTGCATACATTTCATCCCACTTCACCTTTACAAGTGGTCAGGTTCAACGCATTAGGACACTGCCTCCAAGAGGTTTTGCCATGTGCCAAGGTCACAGGGGATGTGGCAGAACCAGGACTATCAGAGCTGCCACCGGGGCAGGGGTGGGGCGGCACACCTCTGCTTCCAGCCCCCTCGGGCTTCTCCCATCCTTGTCTCCACCAGGCACCGTCTCCAGCTGCAGGCCAACTGGCCTAGGCTCTTCCGGCCATGGACCAGCTGTTCCCCGAGAGTCCCCGGCCAGTGAAGGGCTGGAGAAGCCACCACTGCCAGGATCCGCTGGCGAGGCCTGTGGGGCCTCACTTCTGCCCTGGGAGAGCTCCTGGAAACCCTGTGTCTGTGCTAGGGCCATCGGCTGCCAGAGCAGGGCATGGCCCGAAGGCTATGACGGGTCGGAGGGGGGTGAGGCCCACTGGGGGATGAGGGCAAAGGCCACGCTGCCCCGGACACTCACTGGCTGCCCTGAGGCCACCCGGACAGAGGGAAGAGTGGCAGCAGCACCCTGGGAGGCCAGAACTGGCCTCTCACCTGCTGGGGGTTCCTGTGAGGCCCTTCCACCCTAGGCTAGCTTGAGTTTCTCCAGCTGTTCCATGAGGGGTTTCATGAGAAGATTGACTAAGACCATCGAAGTGGAAATGTCCTTGTTCTCTAACTGGAGAAATGGGAAGTGAATTTCCCACAAGCAGACGTGGCAGTTTCCAGGGGGAGCTAACCTGGTTCTTCCTTGGAATTACTAGGCCTGAGAGTTCTGAGGGCAGGGAAGGTGTCCTCTTCATCCCTTTGTCCCCAGAATGCAGTAGGGGATCTGCCTGGTGCCGAGTAAGGGCTCGAGATAGATGTTGCCTGATGGAGGGAAGGAGGAAGGCTATGCATGAATGAGCACCCAGCAGGGCACAGATGAGCCTGAGGCACACCCTTAAGGGCTCCTGGACAGGAAAGCCCCACATGTCACTTTAAACCCCACAGAGAGGACAGATGGGGGCTCCCCTGTTCCTTCTCCACTCATGCCTGCAGTGGATTGGAGGCATTCCTGACACACACCTCCATCACCTGGGGCAGCCCTCAGCTTATCCCCACAAGGTGGCCACAGAAGAGGAGGAGGGGGACGCCCGGGTGGCTCAGTTGGTTAAATATCTGTCTTCGGCTCAGGTCATGATCCCAGGATCCTGGGATCATAGAGTCCCACATCAGGCTCCTTCCTCAGCGGGGAACCTGCTTCTCCCTCTGCCTGCCGCTCCCCCTGCTCATGCTTGCCCTCCCCCTCCCTACGGCAAATAAATAAAATCTTTGAAAAAAAAAAAGAATCTATTAAAAAAAAAAGAGGAGGAGGTGGGGAGGCACAGGGCAGCTTTGCAGTCTTCATATCTGGCATTCCCCCCAGCAGCCCGCTTCACACCCCAACCCAGGGTCCCCGCCAAAACACACCCTCCACCTGGATGCTTAGCTCCTGGAGGTCTCTCTCTGACATGTGGGAAAATCTGCAGTTGGAGCCGAAGTCACACTGGCCTGCAACAGAAGGCAGGGAAGACAGAGTTACTCACTGCTTGGAAGAGCTCCCACCATGTGCTGAGGGGCACCCTGATGGGGGTGCAAGGCTTGAGTCTACAGAGTAACAACCCCACCCCCAAAGAAAAACTTGGAATCTCTCTGGCCCCACCCACACAAGTAGCCAGAGCAACCTGTCTGGTCCATTCTGCCCCGTTCACGACCCTGGGAAGCAAATCCTGAAGCCTTCCGTGATTGGGGTGCACAGGTCTCTGTAGGCTTGTCCACTGTCACCACTCCCTTAGCCCCAGGCCCTGTTCCCCAGCCTCAACAAACCACAGGGGGCTCCCTGAAAGGGTCATGCTTCCTCTCTCCAATCCAGGCCATTGCACCTGCTGTGGCCTCTGCCTGGTGCCCACCTGTCCATTCGGCTTGCATGAGCCACTGGACTGCTCCCCAGAAAGGTTTCAATGGTAGCTTCCTCAAGGAGGCACCAAAGCCAGGGGTAGCTTTCTGAATCTCAACTGGGGAGACCAAGCTTTGTCTCAAAATAACGGGAGACTGAAGGTATCCAAAGCCAGCAGAACCTACCAGTGGTGTTTTCACTCCAAGTGAAGTCTGTCGGGGAAGCCCCTGACCTGCAGGCCTGGTGACCATTCTAGGGGCAGCACCGTCTCCTGAGGGGAGTGTAGCCATTCATCTGGCTTCCTTAGGCCAACAGCACTACCTCTCCCCAGAGCCAAGCTCTCTTACATACCATGGTAATCACCATGGTTCTCCTCTTTGCCTTGGCCACTAGGAAGCTCAGGGCCAAACCCCTAGAGAGTATACAGGAACTCAAAGCAAGCATGGAGGAAACGAATCATTCCCCTGGCTTTGTCTTATTTTTCCTACCCTTATTTTCATCTGCTCTTAGTTCCTTCACTTACTGAGGTTTTTATCTGTTTGAACCTATATGCACCTTTATTTCGTGGGTATTGAGTAGTCAAATCAACACTTAGCATCCTTGGTTCTAATTCTGAAGTTTCTCGTCAAGCCTGTTACCGTCTCCAGCCCTGCCTGCTGGGATGGGCTCCCAGGCTAACCTAATCAGCCAGTCGATCACACCCATCAGTGTCTCCTAGATTTACTTGCAATCTCCTAGTGCTGGCTTGTTCTGGGTGGGCCAATAAAATCACATTCTAGGTCGGGAGAGCTGAGGAACCAGGCCCTGGAAGTCAGTCCCAAGGCACAACCCTTGGGAAGGCCCCAACTGACCACTTGGCTGATGCACCAAGACCACAAAGTGGGCTTCAGATGGTGGCTGGGGTAGGGGAGAGGCTCTGCAGAGGTCCGAGCAGGCCAGATGGGGCATGCTGGTCCCTAGGGGGAACTAAACTCAGTAGAACACATTACCTGTCAGTAGAAACTTCCTGCACGGCCTCTTGTTCTGTTCATCTAGCAAGATGGCAGCTGCATCTGCAAGAAGAGCGAGGGTCCGGGTTCAGACTTCGGCTGCATACAGGCACCTCCTATCCCCGAGATCAGGAAAGGAAAGAGTTCCCATCCACAGAGGAGTGTAGGAGGGGATGACCACAGGTGAGGACGCTCGGCAGAAGCATCTGAGCTTCAGGTGACCTCAACCCTTTCCTCCCCACCCGGACCTAGCCAAAGGCAAGAACCAAGTTTTAGGTTTGAGGTTCTTGGCTCTGACCATGCAATGGAACCACCTGGGCAGTTTTGTTTTTTTTTTTTAAATCCTGGTATGGTAGACTTCTCCATACTGTCTTTGCAACTTCTGTGAATCTATAATTATTTCAAAATGGAAAGCTAAAAAAACCCTCCTGGTGCCCAGGAAGCCCACCAGTAAGTCTCAGGGCTCCGGCGTCGCTCCACGGCCAAGGCTGCTACGTGCTATCTGCTCCCTCCTTCCCCCTGCCAGCCGCCGGCCTCCGCAGGACTTCCCAGCTATCTTTCCGGAAAAGAAACCTTAACCCTGGCTTCCTCCGATTTTTCCGACCTTTATTTTCATCATATACTTATGGTTTAAGTTTGTGTGTTTCTTGGTAGGTAAGGAATCAATCAGCCAAAATCCATAAGACAGGAAGGTGCCCCGACTCAGAGGCCCTGACGTCGCCCTGGGGGCCTGGGCTGGTCACGTTCCCCATTGGTCCACTGCCTTTTCTGGAGGCTGCTGGAGTAGAGGAAAGACCACGGGTTTCAAAGTCCAGGTACACTTGACCCAGGCAAGCTGCTTCATCTCTCCAAGTCTCTGTTGCCCCATATGTAAAATGGGAGGAAAATTCTCCTCTGATAGGGCTGCTGTGCAAACTGAATAAGGTAATGGATGCAGAGCACTTGGCAGAGGTGCCCAGTGACCCCCAACCCTGAGGGCACATTAGAATTGCCAGGAAAGTGGGGCTGGGAGTGCTTTAGCATCACACTAACGTGAGGCCAGGGCTCCTCCGAACCCGTCGTGGATGCTCAACAAACGGTGGCAGTTCTTACTTTGTGTCCTCCTTACAAGCCCACCGCACAGCGCTAACATCCCCATTTTGCAGAGGGGAAAACTGAAGTTCAAACAGGGGAAAGGGCACATAGTCAGGAAGTGGCAGTGCCAGGCTTGAACCCTCGTGTGTGAGTCTAAAGCCCCTGCCCCTTCCCGTGTGGCTGTGGATCTCCTGGTGGCGGGGTAGGTGGCCAGCTCGGTGGCCGGCTCTGATGGGAATTTCTCCCTTCCTCCCTTCCCCAGGGCCAGGCAGCTGGTGGGAGTGGGTAGCTGTGGGCAGGAGTTGGTTATCAGAGGACTCACTCCGGGGGGGGTGACCTGGTGGATTGTGGGTGGGGCCAGCAGGGTAGGGGGTGTCCATCCATCAGCACTGGGCCTGTCAGACTCAGCCCGTCCAGCCAGTTCCACAGACCTTCCCAGGGAAGGTGGGCTGGTGGGGGCATGTGAACATTGCCAAGCCCCACCTCCACATCCCAGAGGTAGGACAGCTGAGACTAGGTGGGGATCTGAGCCTGAGTCCTAGCCAAGGCGCCCTGGCTGGAGCACTCAGTGTGGCAGAAGAGTTCCAGGCTGTCCAGCATCTGGCCGGTGGTTCTCAACCCTAGCCACATGGCAGAATTGCCAGGCAGCCTTTAAAATATAGGGATCCCCGGTCCCATCCTTCTCAGGTTCTGCTTTAATTCATCTGAGGGGGAGAGCATGAGAATTGTTAAAGGCTCTTCAGTGACTCTGAAGGGCACCCAGGACTGAGAACCCGAGTCCAGGGCCTGCACAAAGAAGGCATGCTCCTCCACCCAGCCAAGGCTCCTTGTGATCTGACCCCATTGGTCCTTCTTGCTTCATCTTGCAAAATTAACAGCTGCCCTGGTGCCTGGTGTTTGTTTGCTTGCTCATGTAGATATTCATCTAACAAACATTTACTGAGCATGTCCTGTGTGCCAGGCACCATGCCAGGATGAGGATTTAGTGGAGAGTAAGTCAGACCTGCTTCTCCCTTCCAGTCCAACAGTCACACTAAGCCATGTGGACATAAACAGGGGAACAGCTAGCATGCAGCCAAATGACCTTGCCCAGGGATTGGGGAGGGCAACCCTGAGACGCTTGGCCTGAGTTGAATTCTGAGATGGAACAGCTAGGCTGAGGGCATGGAGGACAGCAGGAAAGGCGTGCCCACAGAGGGGACAGTACCTGTAATGGCCAGAGTGGTTGGAGCTTGGAGGGCGAGGTGGGCAGGGCACGGAGACCTATACAAGACAGGGGTTCTGCCAAGAACACACTGTTATAACTGGGAGTGAGGTTGTCCAGGAGAGGGGCTCTGTTTTATTCATCTCTAAGTCTTCAGAGCCTGCCTGGGAGCCGAGGACATGCTAAGTGCTCACTGAGATAAAGGGCCTGAAGCCAATCCTTTTGTGGACCCATATAGTTCCTACTGAGTGAACCCTTACTGCCACACAGTCATCATGAATATACTGAGGCCCTGTCACATCTGCGGGAAGTGGATATTGTTGTTATGGCTGTTTTACACATGGCAGGATTAGGGCCACACTGTTCGTGAGTGACACCTTGGGACGGACAGCCACTCAGCCTAGCTCCAGACCTCATACTTGTCCCAGTCATGGCCGAAGCATGGTCAGCCCCTCTGGGGGTGAGGGGATTTGTCTAAGGCCATGAAGCTGGGAGCAAAGTGGTTATTGAGTCCTAGCCCAGGCTGGGGTGCCACATGCCTCCCCAAAGTCTGTGCTGTGCAGTTTGCTCAGGTAAGCTGGAGCCCCGAGGAAGCCTCTTAAAGTGGAAAGAGCTCATATGCCAGCTGTGGACCCCGGGTGAGTATCATCTACCACTCTGGATTTGGAAGTCACCACCTTTAAGTGGGGATGCCCGCCCACCCACCCTCCCTTGCAGAGCTGTTCTAAGGACTGAATGTGCCTGGGGATGTGAGGGGACACTAGGAATGCAGGGTCCCCACTGCATTCCCTTATGGTACCCACTCTTTCATCTTTCTTTAAGTAATACAATAGCCTCTGCCAACCAGCCCTCGACCCAAAGACCCACCTGTTCTCAGATGAGACTCTGGGCTGGGAGCAAACACCAAGGTAATCTTGAGGCCTGGCTCCTGCCAGATCACAGTCCCCACTGGATTTGGGGGGCAGGGAGCCTTTGCCTGACACCAGAGTCAGAGGCCTCCATGGCACCTAGGAGAGCCCTCTGCCACTGAATATCCCTCGGTCCCCGCTCCCAGCCCCTTGCGACCTCAGCCATGCCTGGCCTGCTGGGCAGCCTGGCCACCCTCCCTCTCCCAAGCCTCTGAGCCTCAGCTTCCTCCTCAGAAATGAGTCTGGGAGAGCTCTGAAAATACTGTGTCAAGGCCCCACCCCAAACCTGCCTCTGGGGATGGGGTCGAGTCACCAGCGTTTTTTATTTCAAGGTCTCTAGGTGATCCTAACCTGAAGGGTGGAGCTCTGCCTTAGAGAATTGCTGATGAAGCAAATGACAAACCACAAAAGGCTCCCGGCATGCAGCAGGCACTCCATAAAAGCCCATTCCCTTCTTGTGAATTCTGACTCTCAGACCAGGGAACTCTGTCTCCCCTTCTCCTCCCTTCTTGGCTGCTGAGACTCAGCTCCTTCCTTTTGCTCTGGGAATCCTGCTCCCCAACTCATGAAGCATCGGCCCTGCCCCAGCTCATTCTGGAAGCTTCGGGCCCACCCCCACCCCACCACCAAGCTCCCTCTCCATTTCATCGGCTCCTGGCTGGCCACCCCAACATCTCCCTCGCTGTTCTTCAGTGTCCACGTCTGATGGACAGCAGCAGCAGCTCCCCTGTAGTGAGCACCTCGAAGGTGCCAGGCTTGGTGCTTTGTGCTTATGGCCGGAGCTCATTTGCTTCGGAGGCACCTGCTCAGAGAAGCCTTCCCCTGGAAAAGCCCTCCATCTGGGAGCTCAATCATTCATCCGGCCAGCCAGTCATTCAACAGCCATTTACTGCACCCCACACTCACGCAGCAGGCAAGCATCACTGTCAAACATAGCTCTTGGCCACTGCCTTCAAAGGCTGCCCTCGGCCCTCACCCTGGGGACAAACTGCCCCCTTTACTGTGGCCTCCGCAGACTTACACAATCTGGCCCCAGCCCTGCCACGGCCTTCAGCCCATACCACCCTCCTCTCCTGCTGGGTCCAGCCACGCCTTCTCTCCTCTGCTCGGACGGCACCTGATGCTTTGTTCATGGCCGCCCGCTTCTGCATACCCTCTGCCCAGAATGCTGCCGCTGGCTTCTCCCTGTCTTTCCCACTGATGGCTCAAACATCATCTCCTTGGAAAAGCCTTCTTCCTGGCCACAGTATCCCCAGAGGCTGGCAGAATGGAGCCCTCCTCTCGGTCAAGATTCCTGGGGGACGGAGCTCACATTCCAGCCTGCCCCTTGGATGGCCCATCTGCCCTTAGGGATGCCCCAGTGGCCCCAGCCTTCCTCTCTTTGGCTCCTCCAAGAGCCCAGACCAAGCCCGTCGCTGGCCCATGGGTACTTCCTTGTCTGCCAATAAGAAAGACGGGCAAGCTGGCCTCCATTGGCCCAGCTGCCCAGCCAGCCAGCACGCACCTCGAAACATGTCATACCAGACCTTCTTGGCCTTGAGGTGCTGCAGCCCATTCAGGTGCTTCTTGCGGTTGTGGAGGTTGTCCTGGAAGGAGCGGCTGCAGTAGTCACAGAAGTAGTGCTTCCCCATGGCCGTCTAGCCGGTTGCTGCCCTGCCTGGGAAGCCCAAAGCACTCAGTCAAGAGTAGGCAGGACGCACCACCCGCCGAAGCCCGCAGTGATGGAGGGAACAGGAGGCAAGCTGAGGACCAAGCACAAGCTGACACCCCGCACCCCCCGGGTGGGACCTGTGTGACGTTCCTCGGGCACTCCCGGCTGCCCTAAAACTAAGGGAAGGGAGAAACGAATGGTTAACTGACAGAGATCACAGTCCTGCGGGACAGGAGTCTCCCTCAGTGTACAAATATCTTAGTGATGTACAAGGAAAAGACATTCTTATCAGTAGCCTAAATTTCAGAGACCCATAGACTCAATTTCCTGGAGTCCGAACATCATCCTCCCCTCCATAGTGATGTGAGAAACAAAGGCAGAAGGGAATGTAAATAAAATTAAACTTCTTTATAACCTGCAGCCCATTGACAAATACTTGAGATAGGCAGAGTATAACATTCCTTCTGGAAACTCCCAACTATCTTAACGTTAATGCCTTACCAGAGGGAAAAACAACCTTAGCTGGACAATAGCCAGGCCTCCAGTATCTTCTTTAGCATATGAAAGTCCTTTAGGACACCTCCCTTTTTCCTACGTCCCCCACCTCCCAGGTATATAATCAGCCATTCCTCACAACCCCGGTGCAGCAGCTCTTTCTGCCCACGGGGCCTGTCCCCATGCTTTAATAAGATCACCTCTTTTGCACCAAAGACATCTCAAGAATTCTTTCTTGTTCTTCAGCTCCAGACCTCACCTACATTCCGAAATGATATCAGGCAGCACAGCACCCCAAATGAACACTCCCTGGTGGCCAGTGTAAGGAAGGCTCTGGTTACACCCGCCTCATTTAAACCCCAGAACAGCCCGGAGGAACTACGTGGGCCAACGAATACGGCCTGAGAGGTCTCATTCCAGGGGGATCTTTTAACAATCCTGATGCCCAGCCTCCACCCCAGGGCTGGTAGACCACAGAACTTCAAAGGGTGAGACCCAGGCACCAGCATTTTTGTAAATCTCCCCAGGAAATTCTCCTATGCAGCCAGGCTGGAGAGCCATCACCTTACACCCTCTGGCCACGTCCCCACTTCCCCCCAGCCCCACTCCACCTCTGACCTCCTCTCTCCCCTTCTCTCCCATCTGGCCATATCAGCCCCATCTTTGCTCCTCACACCTGCCAGGCCCCCACCAGGCACCCGCCAGGCGCCTGACCACTTCTTGCATTTGCACCTGCTGACCCCTCTGCCTGGATGCTGTTCCTTGCCACCCCTGCTCACTTGATTCCTTCATCTTCACTCAATACTATCTCCTCAGTAATCTCCTGTGACAGCTTTATTTAAAATTGCAGAACACTCTACTTAGCTTCCCCCATTCCCTGCTTCATTTTTATCACCTTTGAAATAATAAGGTACTTGTTACGTTTATTACCTTTTTGTCCCAACAGGAATATAAATCCACGAGGGCAGGGATATTTTTGTTTTGTTTACTGCTGAAGCCCCACTACTCCAAGTGGCACACGGTACAGAGTAGGCAACCAATATTTGTTGAGTAAATGATTAATTCCCATTTTCCTTATGGGACAACTGAGGTTCAGAGAAAGGAAGTGATTTGCCCAAGGTCACACAGCTGGACAGCAGAACACAAAACCCAGATGCCCTAAAAATCCCACTGCTGGGTGTCCTCTCTTCCAGAGCCAGCTCAAAGCTTACAGAAGCCTGAAGACTCAGGCAGAAATGCAAACAGTTTTGCCAGGAGATTAGCTAAACTCTTAGATGGCAGGTCCCCACCAAGCAGAGAGGGAAATGAAAATGTTTCAGGGTCTTAAGACCCTTAAGACCCCTCAGCCATGGTGACCCACAGCTGCCACACCTGACCCAGGAGATCTCCAGCCACAGGCAGGGGGTAATTCTGAGTGTCAGGGCCAGCCCTTGGGTCCCCCAGTTTGCTGACATAAGACCAGAGGATGAATGGGTCCACTCTGGGCTGTCAAGTGGGATCTGCAAAGGCTGAGCCCAGACTAGCTCCTCACCCTTCGGGTCCTATAGTCTGCTCCCTCATTTCCCAGTGCAGGTTCCTGGGGCCCAGAAGAGGAAGGAAAGTGACTTCCCTAAGCAACCCAGGCTAGCAGCAAAAGCGCGACTCCCAGGACTTGGCAAATTAAAGATACGGCCGGGACCTGACCACAGGGCAGACAGATGGGGGACTGCATCTTGGGAAGAAGAGAATGGGGAGAGAGACAGAGAAAAACAAGCCCCCTGGACAGTCCAGGTAGCCAGGTGGGTCGATAGAGAAGGCTGTTCCCGTGGCAGACAGAGACAGCAGCCACTAAGTCAAGGGCAGTAATGGGATCAGGAACAGACAGTCATTCAAAATGAAAACGTATAAAACCTCTCTTCTCCTATTACTGCTGAGAAACCGCATCCCAGACACATGGACTTGATATATTAAATTTGGCAGCTCTAATACACCCCGTCTTGCCAATAAACTTATAGGAATTGGATTGAAATTGTAAGAGATGAACGTTTAACGGCCGAGTGCTTAACCAAGCCATTCACGAAGCCTCAAGCTCTGAAGAGCTGCTGGCTCTGGAGCATCGTGGGGAGGGGAGGGTGTCCCTCTGGGGAGGCAGAGATGGAGCGGTGGCTCTGCGGCAGGCTTAGCTGGACAACACCACACAGGACACTGGGCAGCCGGCCGTGTGACCTTGGACCTCTCTAGGCCTTTCCGTTCAGGAAGGTGAGACAGTGGGTCTGACAGGTTAGCTGACTGCCTGAGGAGCAATGAACAGAAGTTTGCTAATCCAAATGAATTGCTAATGAAAGAGTAATGGAAATACAAATGACACTAATAATGTCCAGCATTTAGCAAGTGCTCAATAAATGTTACCTACTGTTTGATTTACTGAGCACCTACTATGTGCTGGCACTAGGCTAAAAGCTTTATAATGCATCATCTCATGTAATCCTCAGGACAACCTGTGAGGTGGGACCTACTCCACTTTTCCAGATGAGGGCACTGAGGCGCCAAGAAGCAAAGTGCCTTAGCCAAGGTCGTGGTGCTGGAAAGCAGCCAAGCTGGGTTCAGAATCCAGGCAGGGCGGCTCTATAGAGAGTCCACGCTCCTAATCACTTAGAAAAGTCTCCTCGCAGCAAATCATACTGCTGACAGCTCTCCTTTTTCATCACTCACTACACCCTGGGGACCACGTGGCCCGTTTAAAACCCAAGAGGTATGTATTATAATCCCATTTGCGAAGGAGAAGACTGAGGCTCAGAGAAGTGCTGTGGGGTGCCCCGGGTCACACTTCCAGGGAAGGCAGAACAGGTCTTACGGTGCCTGCACTTGCATCTGCTGGGAAAGCCTCCATGAAGTCAAATGATGAGCCCCTCAGCAGTGGACTCCGTGTGTGTGTGTTTCCTCTTCTCTCTCACATGCACAAACCGCAGAGGACAAACCAGCCTCAGCGGAGAGGCGCCCACCCACGCCTTCCTTCCTCTGCCCACCCTGCATCTGGCACAGGGGTGGAGCTCAGCTGTCCAGGGAGGGCCAGTGCACCCCACACTCTAGTCCCAGCTCTGCTAGGCGAGGCTGTGGATCCGTCACGTGCCCACTCGAGGCCTCAGTCTCCCCACGTGTGAAGGGGGAGGCAGGCAGCTAGACCAGGTGATCTCTAAGGGCCTCTGCAGACAGCCAGGTTTAAATCCAGGTGCGACTGCTTTCTAATTCTGTGATGGTGGGCAGTTAATTAACTTCTGGCTTCAGTTTCCTCCTATAAAAACTGGGACAGTAACAGTGCCCACCTCAGGGATTGTTCTGAGAATCAGATCATCTACACACACACTTAACTCAGCAGAGCCTGGCCCCCAGGAGCCCCTCAAGAAACAACAGTCAGCATCACCATCATTATTATTGGTCTCCAAAAGGCCCATATTTCAGAAAACTGAGGCTCAGAACAAGGAACAGGACGTCAGTGTCCAAGTGACAACTGGGGGCAGCTAGTCCATATGACAGATGAGGAAAGGTGAGGCCAGGAGAGGGGAAGTGAGTTGCCCAAAGTACACAGCACAAGGCAGAAGTGGGACTGGAACTTTAGCCTTTACGGTGGGCCCAGATGCCTGCCCTGAACAGCAGCTCCGCAGAGCCCATATGGCCCAGGGATGGTGTCAAGGGGAGCAGACGAGCTCCAGGGCAGCCTGGGCGTCCCACCGCCCAGCAGGCCTGTCCCCAGGGAGGCAGAGGTCCTGGGCAGGAGCTGGGCTTCAGCAAGGTGACCTCACCCAGGCAGCTGTGAACTTCTAGCGCTCCTGACCCAACTGCCCCCCTCTCTAGGGCCTTAGCACACATTAGGAAAAGGTGCGGGTGCAGAATCCTCCGGACAGATACAGTGCCCTGCCAGAGCATATTTGGCAATCTGGCAAGCAGAGCGTATTTCACTCCGACTCACACCTCAGTCAGGTGTCTTTGCACAAGGCACAGCCTGCACCATGGCACCTGGCAGCCCTGAGTGGGAGGTCAGGGAAGGGGGGTGGAGACAGCTGGACATCTCCGATGGTGCCCAGACACCAGCATGGGGTGCTGACTAAGCTGGCCCGTGATTCATCCTCACCCTCTGAGGCTGGTGTGCTCAGCAGCGAACAAAGCCCCATCTGCAATACAAAACCATCCAGCCCCACTCCCTTGATGGGAACGCAGACAGCGCCACCCGCCCACTCTCAGGGACCAGGTCCCCGTTTGCAACAGCGGCTGCTGGCTCCCTGGGGCTTCACCAGGTGACAAGGGGGCTCCTTGTGGCCAAAGGGCAGCAGGCGAGGCTAGGGGGACAACCCTCTGGGGTCACACAGGTGTGGGTTTGAATCCCAGCTCTGCCACTTATCAGCTAGGTGACCCCTAGAAAGTTCATCTTCCTGCGTGTGTCCTTAGCTATAAACTAGGGATCCCCACGGCTACTGTGGATTGACCAAGGCAGTAGTATATTAGGATGCCTACCACATAGTTAGAGCTCTGAGAAT